TTTGCTCCCGGTGCCTCTGGTCTGCTGGGGACCATCTCCAGCAGACCAGGGACACCGGGAGCAAAGGAGGCGGAGGGGCGCTGGGGTATAAGATGAAACCCTATCTTTTAATTAAAAAGATAGGGGGTCGTCTTATACACCCAGTCGCCCTATACGCCGGAAAATACGGTAGATTTGGTAATGCAGTTCACTTACTCCTGTTTATTCATGTATTTATTCATTTAGTTACTGTTTTAATATTCTCTGAATGCAGAAGAAGGGAGAGTTATAATTTTAAAATGTGCTGTGCTGTGCAATTCTGAGATATGCGAAGTTATGGTGATCTATTATTGGCTGTGTAGCCTACTGATGGTAGCTTGTTGGTTATGAAATATAAAAGTACCTAATAAATAGAAAGCTATAACATTGTTTGTTTTAGGTTAATTTTTGGATTATCTCTTGTAGTTTTTTCTGATGGCAATTCTGGTCTAAAATGTACTCCTTGATTTAGGTTTAAGAGGCCATAATGTGTACAACATAATTATATATGGTAATTAATATGGAATTTAGTGCTTTCTTATTTAGTGCTTTCTTATTTAGTGCCTAATTTTTCTTATTGTGTATTGCAAGGGAAGTTGCTCTGCACAGTGGGCTGGCAAGATAATGATGCAATGTTGTGTTGCCCTGCCACAGATCTCGGCTTATGCGAGGCTTGGTAGATAGTTCTCTGAGTTGACTTGTGGAGTGATTGAGGAGCTCACATTTATTGCATCTATGATGTCTGTGTGGGAAAGCATTATGTGGGCTGTGCTGCTTTAGAATTCTTCCCCCCTTCTCCTGCTGTTCTCTGGCTGTTTGCTGTGCAGAGAAAGTAGCCTTTCATTCTCTAATTTTACTTACGGAATTGTAGGAGGATCTGTTGTATTTTTCCTGAGCTGTCCGCATCTAATCTTAACACGGTTAGAGGTACAGTAGTTCCCAGTCAGAGGGGTGAAGATGAAGGGGCAATCAGTATGTGAAAAATATTTGTAACAGGAAATTCACAGTTCTTACTCCAGTTTTCTCTTGTTTCTTTCAGTTTCTGGGCATAGCGTTTCTTGGAATTGGATTGTGGGCATGGAATGAAAAAGTAAGTTGATTATAACAAACTCAGTACAGTATCTACCTACCTACCAACCAACCAACCTTGGCAACTTTCCGACTCTGTTCGCAAGAAAGCCCAACTGACAAATGCTCACAGAATAGCCACTGCAGAGCATACATTGAAAGCATGAATTGAACCTTCCTAGCCTGGCGCCCTTGGGACCTGACTGATCCCAAACCAGAAAATTTGCTGGATCAAGGGAGATCAATGCCTCTCCCTCCGCTCCTGGCTATTGCCCCCTGGGGCACTGGCCCTTCCTCTCTCCAGGAGCTAGGGGCTCTCCTCTGCCGGATCAGTGGCTGGGACTTCCCAGGGGCGCCAGGGCTCTGCTGCCAGCCACCAGCTCCTGCTGCCCAGCTCTACCATGATCCTACAACGCTCCTAGCCCTCGCCCACCATTTTTTTCCAGTGGGTACCAGACCAGAGGTGTTGCCAGACTAGAGAAATCCAGATTAGGGAGGTTCCATCTGTACAGCATAAAGCTTTTAAGGGTAGGCAATGTTGGCACAATTGTGTCTTCTCATAAAGGGGGTCAAACCAAAGGAAGGGGAGTTTTTTCTGCTTTGCCTGTGAATTTACATAACTACTGGCACACCCGTAGCTTACCAGTTACAGTTAACTGGTTTGAGCTGGAGCAGTTTCCTGGCCGCCACGTGGCCTGCCGTGGACAGGGGACTCTCCAGCCTAATCAGAGCAGCACTCACCACGGAGTGGCATCCCTTGAATGAGCCTGTTTATGAGGTTAACTGGTTAAACTTAACATTTAACTGGTTAACTAATTAAACGGGATTTTACATCCCTGCTGGTAGCTGTGGCATAGATTTGTTTTTTACACTTACAAAAAACAAGCACAAGACTGAGCGATGATGTTCCTTCAGTTACCTTAAAAATATTAGAAAGCACATGACAATGTCCTTTATTGTTTGAGTGATGCTGCAATTTCTGTTCTGACACAGATTCACATTTGCAGGATTGGGCCCAAATTTGGGAGGCTGCTTGGGGATAGAAAGTAGGAAGAAAAGGCTTCAGTAGGTTGAACCTCTCTGGTCCAGCAGCATCTGCAATCCAGCATGAGTTTAGTTAGCCAGATATCCACTTACCATGGGTGTGGGCAAGTTTCTCACAGTCCCATAAATTTAACAGCCACCAGTCCTGGCTCTCAGTGTTCTGTGAAGTTATTTAGTTCTAATTTACCTCTAAATGTCTTCTAAGAGCGCAGGAGATCCCAAATTCTCTGGTTTGGCACTGGTCAGGTCTTGGGAGTGCCAGACCAGATAGGTTCAATTTGTAGAAGGCATAAAACAAATCAATGTGTGTCAGAATATTGGTTCCCCAACAAGGTAAAGGACAAAAAAACTTCCCTTTCTTCTTAATGTTGTTGTTGATGATAATTAATTACCTATGACAAGAAGAACTTTGTGAGAATGAAAAATGTAAAATGCATTGAAGAAGAGAACCACCATGTTAGTGTTAAGTATTGATATTGTGATCATTACTATACTCATAGGTGTAGCTGAAAAACACATTGGAAATAATACATTGGAAACCCAGTCTCTGACTCAGCTTTTGCACTAAAAATTCAGAATAAATTTACCTGTCTTAGAAGTGGTTCAGTCAGTTGGCACCTTCTGAATAATAAAAATAATAACTATATAAAATAATAAAACAGGATTTAATTTTAAATGGCTTTGAACAGGCACTCAAGAACATTCTGAAGATCTATATTGTGATAAGGCCCTGATCCTGCAGAGATGTAATCACCTGCTTAGCTTTGCCCACAGTGAATATTCTAATTGAATTAAATTGAGCTACTATGAATAAAGTAAAGTATGTGCTGTTGTCTTTGCAGGCTTGGGGCATAAATTATTAGCACTTGCTTTATTTTGAAATGGCTTCCCAGTTAAGCTTTCTTTAAAAAAAAAAAAAAAAAAAAGTTCTAACATGTCCGTAAGTAACAAAAATGAATTTTCCATTATAATAATTATGTCCTTAGCCTACAGTCCTAAAGCAAAAGGGTCATTCTGTCAGTGACAGTTCATTAGGTCTTTAACATAGACCACTCGTGAGAATGGATCAGTCTGCTCATAGGGAAATGTAGCTAGTTAAAAAATATTAATATCCAGAAATTGCAGCGAATGTTTTACTTGAGATGCAGAAACTTGATAGCATGATGTCACTTAAGAACATTCAATAGATTTGAAGAACTGAGTTTGTATCATGCTTTAAAAAAAAAAAACAAAATAAAAAAAGCCAACCAGGAGGAGTCACCTTCCAGTTTGAACTGTCTTAGCTATATGACCGGCTTGTTTACATACATCAATACATACAAATGTCTTAGGACCAGATTCTTTCATTGAAGACTTACACAGGAAACCGCTTAACTTCAGCAGGCATTAGGATGTTATGCTCGGGGAAATGTGGTGTTTTAGAAATTGTTTGTGGTGTGTTGTAGCCATGTTGGTCCTAGGATATCAGAAAGAAATGAGGCGATATCTTTTATGCAGAAGTTGATCCAATAAAAGATATCACTTTATCTACCTTTGTGCTTTAGAAAGACTGTTTATTATGTTCACTTTATCATGCAGGGGCCCCAGCTTGGGCTGAGACCCTGTTGTTCTAGGTGCAGTAGTGAGAAAGTTTACAGTCTGCACTGATTCTGAATGTCATATGTAAAGTTATATACTGAATTCGCACAGTAGTCACTTAAGAAATCACTGTGCTGCTGTATATTATGATTTTGAGGATGTAGATCCAACCTCCCTCTGCGGCCATTTGATTTTCTTCCCAGTTTCTTTCCACACAGTTGATTCATTTCTCTAGTTAAACTTGCCACATCTCAAAGCCTTTTCAGAATGGTGGAAAATATAGCACCAGACAGTGTACCAGAAGCTGTATGAGATTTGCACTGGCCAAGATGGGCGATAATGAAATAATGCACATTTACTGCCAGGTGTCAGGAATATAGGATAGTTCTTCTAGTGATGGCCCCTGTGTGGTATGAGGAATACGTTATGGTTTTACATCCTTTCCTTAGCCCCCAGTTGTTTCTAAAGGAGTCTTTATTTTAAAGAAAATAATTTGCTATGTCTCAATACCTTCCTTGCAGCATTGGGGGAGCAATAGAATACCGTTGTCAGACAGTGAAACTGGTCTGAGAGCCACTCAATGAGAGTTAAAGAGAAAGTGGAAAAATTAGCATCCTAAAGCATGAATTTGAAAGAGAGATCTGCGAATCAAGGAGGCGGTGAATCTGAAAGAGCGAGATAATCTGTAAAGACTAAGTTCACCTCTCTTCAACCCCATCACCCCTAATTTTACTGCTGAATTTTTCTCTCAGCAATTTTTGAGTGAAGATCTTTCCTTCTCTTGCTTTATCCTAGTGAGGATAAAAGATCAGGAAGGAAAGATGTACTAATTGTGCCATAAGATTGCATGCACCCACTTCCAGAAAGTGCTTGTTTGAATACTTGTTTAGAAATTTGAATCTAGTGCATATTCCCGGGATTGCATGCAAATTGGACAAAATGCAAAGCACGTTCTTTGCTCTTGAACATTTGTGGATTTTATACTAGGGTGATGGTGGCTTTAATAATTTCAATTATGTGACTTATCATTTAGATTTTGGTGCCTAAAAGGGAACTGTCCAAATACTTCTATTGTCCTACCTTGTTTTATAACACTTTAATGGATTTTTAAAAATCTCATTTCTTTTTGTCTGTTTGTGCTGTTGGTTTATTTTATGAAATTCCCTCCTTCATGACAAGAAAACAAGAACAGTCATTCCCCTTATTTTCCCCCTCCAGTTCCAAGTAACTAGCAAAATGCTGCTGCTGCTGTTGCTGTTGTTTTTGTGTTTCCAACATGAAGCTAACAAAAATTATGAAATCTTGAATTGTGTAAATACTCCCCACCCACCCACATTTTCTGGTTTAATTACGGTTCCCTCTTCTACACTTATCAAATGCACAGTAACTTGAAATTTCTTATGATTTATGCCTATCAAAATAGACAGATTTTTCTCATTAAATAGCAATTGAAAATATTTTCATTTCTCATCACCATCCAAATATGTGTTAGCCAGAGATTCTTGCTCATGCCCACAGTTTGCAAAGGAGAATATACTCCAGATGATTTTGTATTTGAATCTTTTTCTTTTTCTCTGACCACCTCCACCACCACTTACCCTAATTCAGTGATACTCAGACTTCAGTGATTCAGGAGCCAAAGTAGTGATCCATATTACCTAAAGAGACAGACAAGATTAAATTCATTATTTCATTTACTTTTTTTAAAAAGAAATATGTTATTCCCACAGCAAAATGACTGACCAAATATTATGATTGTATCAACTACAATCAATTAATAACCTAGAAAAAGCATTCAATAACTAGACTGCTTAATAATTACATTACAAAGAGTTTTAAAATAATGTGATACAAAGACATAAGAACGGCCATACTGGATCAGACCAAAGGTCCATTTAGCTCAGTATCCTGTCTTCTGACAATGGCCTGTGCCAGAAGTCCCGGGGAGCGAACAGAACAGGGAATCATCAAGCAATCCCTCTCTCGTCACCCATTCCCAGACTCTGGCAGAGGCTAATGACACCATTACTACCCATCCTGGCTGTTGATGGATCTAACCTCCATGAATTTATCTAGTTCTTTCTTGAACCCAGTTAAAGTCCTGGTCTTCACAGCCTCCTATGACAAGGAGTTCCACAAGGCCGACGATGTGCTCTGTGAAGAAAAAATTCCTTTGCTGGTTTTTAACTTGCTACCTATTCATTACATTTGGTGACCCCCTACTTCCTGGGTTATGGGAACAAGTGAACAACTTTTCCTTATTCACTTTTTCCACACCACTCATGATTTTTTAGACCTCTATCATATCCCCTCTTAGTCGCCTCTTTTCTAAGATGAAAAGTCCCAGTCTTGTTAATCTCTCTTCCTACGGGACCTGTTCCAAACCCCTAATCATTTTTGTTGCCCTTTTCTAAACCTTTTCCAATGAAAGTATATCTTTTTTGAGATGAGGTGACCACATCTGTACGCGATATTCAAGTTGTGGGCATACCATGTTTTTTATAGATGTGATAAGATAGTCTGTGTCTTGTTCTCTATCCCTTTATTAATGATTCCTAATATTCTGTTTGTATTTTTTTACTGCCACTGCACACTGCATGGATGTTTTCACAGAACTATCCAGTGTGACTCCATGATCTCTCTCTTGAGTAGCTAAATTAGTCCCCATCATGTTGTATGTGTAGTTGGGATTATTTTTTTCCAATGTGCATTACTTTACATTTATCAACGTTAAATTTTATTTTCCATTTTGTTGCCCAATCACTTAGTTTTGTGGCGCCCCCTTGAGTGCTGAGATCATGAGTCAGTATATTAAGCACCTCCAACCTACACCCGCTCACTCCTCCTTATTGCCTGTGATGGATGGTTGGAGCCCCTTGCCTTGCATCGCAAGAGTTATCAGTTTTTTACAGTCCATTGCTCTGTCTCATTTGTATTTACTTGAGAGATGCTTGCTTAGATCACTAAGTTAAGTGTTAGAGTAATAAAGTTGGTCCCAGCTGGAACTTGGCCTTGGAACTTGGCCCTGATTCCCAGGCTTTAAACTGTGCACACTGTGCAGCTGGCCGACGCCCTTCCGTGAACATCTCTGTCCCCTACCCCCCGATCGCTGTTTGGAGTACTTGGGGAGCCCCATAGAAAGGACATCCCAGAGCTAATTGAAAGAACCACTGTGCTTGGAGCCCAAGCCCAAGCCCTAGCCCAGCCAGGGACCCACCTCTGATTCCCAGGAGCTGCAAACAGCTGAGTTGAAGATCAGCCAGGGAACATATTCTATTCAATCTCCTGTGGGACTACAACATATTCCTGGAACAAACCCCTTGTAAGAGGGGAAGAATATTAAAATGTGACTTTTGCAAAAATGAATAGGTTTCTGGCAAATACTATACAAACACATGAACCATGCATGTGCAGAATAAAAATACAATGGAATTGTCAAGGGACGGGGTAGCTACATCCTTTTCTTTTCACTTCTAAGATATCAGTAGTACGGACTTGACTGGCCAAAAATAAAAAGACTAGAGTAGACAATTGTTGCTCATGTTGCTGAAAGGATGCTTCATATTTATTAAATACAAGAATGTTAAAGCACTTTATAAATGTTTGCCTCCCCCGTGAGAGAGATTATGTAAATTGAGAATACTGAGTGAGTGGTGCAAGGTCACACAGCAAATCAGTTGAAGAGCCAGGATGAGAACACAGTACTCATTGATTCTTTGTTCTCTGCTCTAAACTCTTACAAAATCCAAAATACCTCACCTGCAACTAAGGATACGGTGAAGACAGTGCTGGTCATCCCTACGCTTTTCATAGTTTTGCTCTATTTACCCCAATAAATAATCCATTAAATCCACAGAAGTGCTTGAATACTATGGTGACAGGCACTGTATAAAACCCCGAAACAGGCAGACATCTGTAGGTAGAAGAGAGATATTGACAGTCCTATGAGATGGTCCTTCCAGTCTTTTTAAGCAATTTGAAATAGAGTAATACAGTCCAGTCATTGCCCCGCTGTTTAAAGCAAAATGTACTTTTAAATACTGTACCACTAACTATCTCTTGAGCTTATTTCAGGCTGTTCAAGAACAGGGCTGTAAGATGGTTTAAACCATATTTCATTGTTAAGGTGCCTGCTATCAAAATACTTAACTAGTGTGTGTATTGATGTCATCTGGAATGACTGCTTTTCAGACCATAACATTTATAATTGTTGTGTTTATGTAAGAACATATTTGTTAGCCAAAAATATAAAACACAAGTGCTGAAGAATATTCATTTGCTGCTGCTCTCTGTATTTTAAAGGAAAAACAAAAGTGGACTCTTTGCACGCTAGTCCAGACACATCTGTTATTTCTTGGCATTGTTTTTTTTTCTCAGGGAGTGCTGTCCAATATCTCTTCCATAACTGACCTGGGAGGTTTTGATCCAGTTTGGCTCTTCCTTGTGGTAGGAGGAGTCATGTTCATTTTGGGGTTTGCAGGATGCATTGGAGCTTTGCGAGAAAATACCTTCCTTCTCAAGTTTGTAAGTAGTTGTTGCCATTTCTGGATTCATCCGTTACAAAAGTAAAACCATGTCCTGTGTTGGTGCTTAACTTGTCAGTCTCTTGAAACGCCTCTGCAGATATTTGACACAAATGTGTTGTATTTCTCTCCTAAGTCAGTTTTTCCCTGTCTTGAAACAATGAAGGTATTAAAGAATTGAAATTCAGGTTGCTTATGTTTTTTGGATTTTAACTTGAATGATGCAATCCTGTTAAGAGCCATAGTGCAGAGCACATGCCTTTTATAAGGATCTAACCTAATGGGTCTTGGCCTTTCTCTTTCTAGAGGAGAGATCCTACTTGAATAGTGTATGTATTGAGCTTTGAAAGCCCCTAATGAGCTGCTTGTATAACATATGGGGGATGTGAATACTGTACCAAATGTGGCCTTTGCCATTGTTGGTGTCAAACTGCAGTCCTGTGGTGCAGAAGAGACAATATTGCGTCCCCCAAGATGGGGATTGTGACGGTGTGCGGTCACAGACGACACCTCGGGGATGCTGCCATGGCCAGTGCCACTTGCCTTCCCACTCTCTGGGGCTCCCCACCGACAAAGGATCTGGTCCTAAGATCCATTAAAAACTGGCACTAGAGTAGCAATTGGTGTTAATTAGTCTGGGCTTTCTCCCAAATCTGCACCAATTAAAATTAGAGGTGTTTAGTGCCCTTACCCTTATGAATTCTACATTTTTATCCAAAATATCTGTAATATAAAATAAAGAAGTGAGAAAAAATAGAAAACAATAAATACAACGAAAGGGGGAATGTGCACGCTGGTTGCATCACTGGGTTTGATAGAAAATAAAAATGGTTTATTAAGTGGAAGCAGCAGGATTTAAGTAGTAATAAGTGAAGACAAGCAGAGCAAAGTAGGTTACAAATCAAAAGAAACAAAACCGCTTGGCTAATTCTACATTGAAACCTTAGTACAAACTTAATCAAACTCACCCTAAAACCTCTTTTCCAGCTGCCCCTTCCAGCTGCTTTCTTCCACACCCTGGGGTCCCTGGCCCCTTCCTTCAGGTGCAGCCCAACTGAAAGACCTAGGCCTCTGCTTTCCTATTCCTTTTGTTAAGGAATTGAGGCCCCTCCCTACCAATCACTGCTCAGACTTAAGGACAAAAGATTGTTTAACAGTGGCTCATCTAGAAGTTGCAGGTGACACTCTCCATGTCTCCCATTCACACATTGGAAACTCACAAATTATTCCCCACTCCCTGTGTCTAATTTTATACACACAAATGATACATACAACAGAGTAAGATAAACAGAACCAGCAGCTCATGACATGAAGATCGATGGGTTACATGAAATAATTCGCTCAAACCACCTTTGAGTTCTGTATATTCATGTCCATTAGTCCATTTCATAAAGCATGGGGGGAGGGGGCTCCGTCATAGGGGTTATCTGATGATGTCCTGGGACCTTGGCTCTGTACAGCCCACACTGATTGAGCACAGCTTGAACTGCTTAATGGCGGCACCACTCTTAGTCTCCTCGAACCTTGACTTGGACTGTCAGTTATGAAAGGAGCTGCAGGCAGGTCCCAGCATCAATGCAGAATCTTGAGCTGAGCTTCCTGATTTGTCTGTGTTTTGGGAAGGGCACTTCAAAGATGGGGCACATATTCAGGTGAAAGATGTGTGGCTGCAGGCTAGCCTGTTTTACACAAATCCCTATTCATCCTTTTGGCTCCTGGCAAGCTGTCATCTAATCTATCAATTAACAGGAAGCCTTTATATGTACATGTAACAACTACTTTCTAGTGACCGGTTTGGCTCCCTGGATGAAAATGCTGTGTAGAAGGAGGTGATTCTTTCATACTATTCTCAAAACTGCTCTAAGCTGAGCAATTTCTGATATACTTTTATGTTGCTAGAAAATGAAAGTAACTTTCATGCTTCTTCCTTCATTTGCTTTTCTGACTCCCTGTAAAATTAACGCACCTGCCAAACCAAAAATAGCTTCCTATCTAGCAGCAGCAGTGAAAATGCATCAGAATGAACAACGAATATATTTTAAAAAATTACTCAAAGGCATGGCTGCAGAACAGAGAGTGTCGTATTGCATTTGGATTAGGGATGTTAAGGACTAGTCGACTGTCCGATAAGCAAATGCTTATCGAACAGTCTACTACTCAGTTCCAAATCTGCACACGGAGTTCCACGTTTCTCCTTTCCTCCTCCTGCTGGGGCTCTTGTACATTTTCAAGGACAGTGGAAGTGCCTATCGACCAACCCGCGGCTCGTGAGCCACATGCGGCTCTTCAAAGAAAAAATTGTGGCTCCCACACTCACGGTTCTGCAAGGGGCAGTGTATTTCTGTTTGAAAGAGACAAGAGCTGGAGTTGCAGCATCCTGTGCCGAGTTCAAAGGGCAGTGCCTGCTCTGCTCTCAAAAGGACGGTGACTAGGTTTTTTGTTGTTTTTTTTTTTTCCTCGGTTCTATACGTTGTATCCACTACTATTTTGGCTCTTCATCTGAAACAAGTTGGCCACCCCGGAGTAGTCGATGGAAATTCCATTGACTGCTCGATTAGTAAATTAACTGTTACTTAACATCCTTAATTTGGATCATGTGGGATTTTTTTAAACTCCACATAGACTCACCAGTGATGTTTAGAGAAAATGACATGTCATTAGTAATGCCTTGAGTGTTCATTGTGTTTGCATCAATTGTAAGGAACTTACTTGGTTTTAATGTGGCTATAATGAGTAATTCTACAGACATTCCTTTGAAATTTTTCCATTAATTCATTTCTGCTGTTGCCAATATTTGCTTGATATACTTCCTTAGACCAAACTTTAGACACGGGTGCCATTAAATTGATTTCTGCACCTAATTTTTGGCAACCAAATAAGTGAACTGATTTTCAGTGGTGCCATTGCGCCTTTGAAAATTTAGGTATCTAACTATGTATTTAATGTTGATATTAGGGAAGGGCTTCAGGGATCCCTGTTTACATTCTGCCTTGGGTCCTTTTTGAAAATCTCAGCTGAAATGTGCAGCTCTGTGCAGACAGAACTGTTCAATCCTGCATTGGTTATGAATAACGTTTTAAAAATAGTCATTTTTCCTGTGCGTAGGAATACATTTACCATGTGTTAATAAGCCTGCTGAAACTGACAAAACATTCAGTTTTCAGGTCATTCACATTCTGATTAATTGTAAGCCTTGAAAAATAAGTATTTAGGCACAGAGGCAGAATAGTCCTTTTCTTGTAACTTTTTTTGTCTTTCTTTTCCATAGTTTTCTGTGTTCCTGGGAATTATTTTCTTCCTGGAGCTTACTGCTGGTGTTCTGGCATTTGTTTTCAAAGACTGGATCAAAGACCAGCTGTATTTCTTTATAAACAATAACATCAGAGCATACAGAGATGACATTGATTTGCAAAACCTAATAGACTTCACACAGGAATATGTAAGTTTGACTCCTTCACTTTAAAACAGAGTTTGCACTTAAAAAAAACTTTTTCTACTTTTACTTCTCATCTGTTGGCTTTTGCAAGTAGCCACAAAAATGCACTAGAATATAATATTTAGCACATGTACACAGCAATGAATGAATGGTACTTCCATGGATATGTCTGAATCCACAAGCAACATTGTGGTTAGGCTAGATGTTAGCCCCATTTTTATGGGTGGGAGAAGTAAGGCAAAAGCTAGGTGTTTGTCTGTAAGTCACTGAGGGAGTCTGTGGTAGGTCCAAAAGTAGAAACTGCTTTCTACTTCCTGATGCCCAGTCTTATGCTCCAGACACTGGGCCACATAGCTTTCCTACCAGCAACTTTTTGAAGACTTTTGTTCTTGGAAATTTAAGTGGTTTTATTACTATAAAGCCATCTCTATACTTACCCGCGGATTTAGCGGGTCTAGTAAGGTACTGCTACTTCTTGCGAGGAATAAGAGAAGTCAATGGGAACATTTTTCACGTGACCTCCCGCTATGAGGACAGCACCAAAATTTGAATCAAGATATGTCGACTCCATCTATGCAATTAATGTAATTGGAGTTGGTATCTTGATTTGAGCTTATCCCCCAGTGTAGATCTGGCCTAAGAGTTGCAACTAGAGCTCAGGGAATAACTGGTTTTTCAGTTCATTGGCTGAAATGAAAAATCCCAAATAAAATGTAGTTAGTTTTTTTTTTAATGAAAACTTACATTTTTCATATTTGTTTTTGTTTTTGAAAAAGTGTTTTAATTGAAACAAAACATTCCAAATGTCTATTTTTGGAATTACTGGGTTTTTTTGGGCTGGGGCAGAAAATATTAACTGAATTATATCCAAATTTTGCAGATATTTTGGTGCCCCCCAAAATAATTTTTTTGTTTTTTGAAGAATTTACTATTCACTGAGCAGATGTAGCCCATCTCTGGTTACAACACTGGTACGATGCTTTTTATTGAAACTGATTTGAAAATAGTTCTGTGATGAGACTTGCCATCCAGTTAGCAAGGCTAGTATTCTAGATCACACTTCAGGGTAGGAGAAGAATTACTTATCCAAGTGAAACTACGGGGAGGATCTAAAGTCTGTTGAATGTAATTAGTGTACTTGGAATTGGGCCACTATTAAAGTTCTCCTCATGAGAAACCAGTACATGGCTCCTACCTATCTGCCTTAGATAGAGCTGGTAAAATGTAGACTGGGATATCTGAGGTGGTACAAGCTAAGTTCCCTTTAACCTACATGCACTCACTTAACAACATGCCAGGAAATAGAAGTGTGTGGCAGTTACACATCAAGTAACTGAATTACCAGTCCAATGAATACGAAGATGTAAATCAAGCAGGGAATGGCCTAGGTTGATGAGGGATGTAAAAGGTTAACTGGTTACCGGTAAGCATTAGCCTTACCAGCGTGCTTACTGTGGTAACTGGTTAATCAGAGGGCTGGCCCAGTGGGAGCAGCCCTCCCCTCCCCCTGTTCCCGCGGTTGGTCCTCTGGTAGGAGCCCAGCAGCAGTGGGGCTGATCAGGGCTGGAGCCTGGTCAGCCCCACTGGAGTTCCCCTGTTTACCTGCAGCATGGTGCACTGGGGCCAGAGCCTTTCCTCCCCCTCTCCCCCCCGCCCTGCCCTTCCACAGCACAGCGGGGCCAGAGTGGCCTTCTGCCAGCCCAGCCACAGAGGCCCCGGCCCAGAGCTGCCCCTGTTTCAGGACCCCAGCTGCTCTGCATCAACCTTCGGTTAGCTGCTTAAATGATTAAAATTATATCATTTAACCGGTTAACATTTTTAATGGGTATTTACATCCCTAATGTTGACCATCTCATTCTTCTGCTCTTTATCTCTTTCTTTCTATGCTCCTCTCTCCTGACCCTTTCCCTTATGTGCTTTACACATCACCTTGAAATTTGGTCCTGTGTGTGTCAGCACATCATTGTTAGCTGAATGCCATCCAAGGCATGTCCACCCAGTAATTTAGTGTCCTCTCCTCCCCTCCCCCGAGAGAGTGAGTGTGCAGATCCTTACACATTGTGATGGATCTGCCCTAGCTTGGTAGCAGTCACAAATCTTTGGCCTGTGTGAAATGAAAAGAGTCTTAGTGCAATTTCTAGTGAATGGGTTTCCATGTAATAAAAACTGCCATTATAACTGCATTCCTTGTTAGCAAGCAATCTGAGCAGATACCCCAGTGATAGACTGAGCATGGACACCAAACTGCCCTCTCAGCCTTAGAGAAAGAAACGGCTGAAGGCACTATGGAAGAAGCTTGTACTGCTGTTGTACACACTGTGCCATATATATATGTGAAAAAAGGAATTTGATTGGCTCTTTCAGTCAAGCGCCTTTTATACATGATAAATTTAATTTAAAATTAGTATAGGCTAACACACCGGGACAGATCTTCAACCGCTGTAAACCAACGCCACTCTGTTGGCTTCCAATACAGCAGGGGCTTGTTTGGCTCACTGGAACATTGGACTGGTGATTCAGTTGCTTGAGACATTTTTACTTTGGCACTTGATGGGTGGGTTCTGCCTGTACACAATACATTGCAAAGGGAATTACTTTTACAGTAATTTTAGAACCACATTCAAGGATGGGACTGGCAGTGAATTTTGAGTTTTCTTTGTTGCCAGATTCCCACTAATCTCCCAGCATGTGTTGTTGTTGGGGCTGATACTCATGTGCAGAGCCCAGCCTTTCTCATTCTCGTGTGTTTGCTCTAGTGGCAGTGCTGCGGAGCCTTCGGCGCCGACGACTGGAACCTCAATATTTACTTCAATTGCACAGATTCCAACGCGAGCCGAGAGCGCTGCGGCGTGCCATTTTCATGCTGTACTAAAGATCCTGCCGTGAGTGCGATACTAAGCGGGTAGTGTGGGTCTGCTGCTCTTGTCGTAAATCAATGCCACGTGAAAGGGTGTCTTCTGTTAGGCTGTGTGTGTGAGAGACAGAGAGGTCTGTTTTACCTCTTGCTTTTTTCCTCTACTTCACTGTGCAAGGCTGAGCTGCTTATTAAGCCTTGAACAGCAGTTTGATCTCCAGTCTTGAGAGAGAACTTCTTCAATCTCCACCATAGGCTTTGTACTTGCAGCTCTTCGTTTGAATGAGGAAATCACTGTTTTGGCTGGGTGCATGTGTTAATTCTACCACAGCGAATGGCCAAAGCCTGGCCATAGTTATGTGGGGATTGTTTTCAGTTTGGTGCGAGGCTGCATCCACTGTTTACCACCATCTTGCAACAAGAACAAATCCTTTTTAACAGATGTGCATATTGCTTGTGATTATTTACTTTAACTTTTGCATTGTGGCAGTGCCTACAGGCCATAACCAGATTGGGCCCCAGGGTTGAATACGTTACAGTCAATGCCTCAAAGAACTTACATGTGTTTGACAGGATTGGAAATTATTTCTTCTCTCTCTTTCCTCATAGATTTGTTGTTCCTTCCCAGTGCCTGACGTTGATTAATTTTTAATTAAACAAAGTCAGTCAGTGGGAAGGAACAACAAATTTATGAGGAAAGAGAGTCTCTGTGCTGAGTGGTGGGCAGCTTCATCATTGTAGTCAGCTGAGGTGGTGCTGAAGTAAACACAATCTCTTTTTAGGGAGAGGCTCGTATAATGAAGTTTCATAGCATTTTATGATGAGTACAATTCCATGTTATCCCTTTACTTACAATGTGCAAATGAGCTCAGAGTGCATTGTTACCTGTGGGGTATGATTGATGACACAGGGTACATACAGTGTTGGGATACAGTTTACTGACTGCAGGATTTGGTATAGAGACACATTACTGCACTTGCAGATTAGTTGGGGCTAATGTTACACATTATGTAATCTTTTTGCTGATTAAAACCCACCCAACCAGCTCGGTTGTCAGTAATGGCTTTCTTTCCATGTTGAGTGAATTTTACTTCCCCAAGTTTCTGAGTACTGTAGCATTGATTGAATGGCAAAGGCCTGTAGGGCCCTCAGAAGCTTCCTGCTCTTGCTAATGCATCTCAGACTTCACTTTGCAACATCATTTGTTATTCTCCTCCTCTCCTGAGAGGTGACTGCTTAGTTGCTCTGTGATGTCAACAGGCATTCACAATAATCTGAAACCACCATCCAAATAGTCATCTTATTTTCTGAACATATAAAAGCGAAGTGGAAAATAGATTAGGCTAATGCATTATAGTTTTGCACCACTGGACACCTCTCTCTACATGTGCACAAACTGTTTGTAATGAGCCAGTTTTCAAAATGTACTCCTTAGGAAAGAGAACCGGTAATACCCCTATCACATAATCCATGCTAAAATTATCTCAACGTCTGCATGTGTTTGTGTGTGTGTAGTATATTTGGCATCTGGAGAAGATGTACAATTATTGTAGAATTAAAAATAAATGAGCCCCATTTCACTGTAAAAAAGTAGCATGATTGATCAGTGTAATATCTGATACAGGTTGGACCTCGCTGGTCTGGCATCCTTGGGACCTGACTAGTCCCAGATTAATGATTTTGCCGGATCAGAGGAGATAATTTCTGTCCCTCTCCCATCCCCCATCATTGCCCCCTTCTGCTATGGTCCGGCTGTTGGCCTCCCGGCTGGCTCTCACCCTTCCACCAGCCCCTCTGTGTGCTGGGCTCCCAGCCCTGCCAGGCGGCTAGCCCTGCCTCCAGGCTCCCGGCCGTGCTGCTGGGCAGCCCCACTGCTGTGCTCCCTGCCCTGTGAGGCAGCCCCGCCAGGTCCCAGCCACCAGACCTCCACTGGGACTCTCTGGTCCTGGAACTTCCTTACTCTTGCCAGACCATGAATGTTGCTGGACCAGAGAATCCCGGTTTAGAGAGATTTAGCCTGTATCTCCATTCCATGGATTATGTCCATAAGAATTCAGGGTCATCATGCATTAAAGCTAGATGTCTTGTAGTTGTAGCTGTATGCCAAGATTTATTAACACCACTGTCCCTCCTGTGGGAGAGGTTTCCAAACATAAACCACTATGTGGTGGGCTCTCTCTCTCTCTCTCTCTCTCTCTTTTTTTTTCCTGTCTAGCCAGCTGCCCATAACTTCAGAAATCAGTCTGCATGCTAGGCTGTAAGGGCTCATCTAGACTACACGGAAGATTCGAAAGAGGATATGTAAATTCCATGGGAATTTGCATATTTTCTTCCAGTCTCACTTTTGAAAGCAGAGTTTCGAAAGTGAAAGCAATCAAGACACGTTTTTTTAGCCAGCTCCTACCTTTTCGAAAAGCCGCTTTTCCTCAAAAAATGAGTTTTACAAGACTTTTTGAAAAAGGGGAGGTTGTAGAAAAAAACACTGTCTTGATTACTTTCACTTTCGAAAGTGAGATTGGAAGAAGAGATGAATCTTTCGAATCGTCTGCGTGGCCTAGATGAGCCCTAAGAGTCTAACCAGCTAATCAATAAGCTAATGCTTATTGGTTCTAGTTACCAGTTAAACTCCCAGCAGCCCCTAGGTGTCCATGGCTGCTGGTAGCCCCTGGGTGTCCACAGCCGTCGGGAGCCCACCATGCTGGCAAACTCTGGGAGCCTAGGTTAAAAAATCCTGGTGTTTAACACTATAACTGATTACATTGTATTTGGTTACAATACAATGGCAGGGGCTTTTTCTGCTTGCAAATAGGAGGGAAGTGTCATTTCTTGTGGATTGGGACGGAAGTGTCCTCTGTGGATTGGGCATGAGTGGGAAATGTAATTGATGCTGAGGGGGGTTACACCTACGGCAAGCGGGGGAGGCTGCCATCGGGCAGTTTCAGTTTCCCAAGTTTTGCCTTTTATTGTTTTGCTTGAAAACTGCTTGGTGTCTCCCGTCTCTCAGAGCAACTGCCTGGAGGGTAAAGGAAGCCTGGGGGCTATTTCTTAAAGTTGTGGAGTTACAAGTCATCTGCAAAAGTGAATGAAACCCAAGTTTAGGTGGAGGCAGATCCATTCATCAGGGTTGCAGTGATTCATTCCTGGATAGAGTTTACAATTCCCCTGTGTCAATTTCCTGGCTGCTTTCTCCTGTGTTGAAAATACACTGTGATACTGCTGTTACCAGGGTAGGGAGGGCAGTTCCCCTCCCTGCAGGGTGAATGTCTCTTGCACCTTGGGTGGGGAAAGCTCAGCCCCAGGGATCTAACTGAATCTGAGGAAACAGATGGTTTATAGAGTGGTCCACCCTGGAACACTTATAGCAAACTAGACAGTACCAAGAGGGTTTGTCTATTGGCTGGGGGGCCTGGGTGAGATTTTTTTTTTCCTCCTCTCAAACTGGTTTTAGCTGGGTTTCTAGGTTAGCTTAGTCAAACACCTTTCCGCCCATCATTGTTGTAGGGAGAGGGGGAGTACCGGTATTTCACTAGCTCTGTGTCTGTGTGCTGTCTTCTCTGAGCACTGAATTTGGAGGTTTTCAGAGTAAAGAGCATGAATCTGTGTAGCTGGAGTTGCAGAGCCAGGCTGTGTAGCTGGAACAAACCCCTATCCTCTGTGGATTGGGCACGAGTGGGAAATGTAATTGATGCTGAGGGGGTTACACCTACGGCAAGCGGGGGAGGCTGCCATTGGGCCTTCTGAGGGTTTCACTACCAAATGTTCCTTCTCGTTCCCAGTAATGGCAGTGGGATTGGGTTTTGGTGGCTGTGTTCCTGAGATGACCCTAGCCATGGTGGGGTCCCAGCATGGCTGCTGTGGCGTATGCATACTTATTCATGTGACTTCGCTCCTTCAAATTAACCTGCTAAGGGGCCAAAGGTATGCAGAGAGAGGGTTGAGTGGGATGGGGAGGGCTTCGCTCCATAGGACTGTTTCTCATTGCACCAGAAGATCTGTGTACATGGAGTGAAGACAACCTCAGAAAACTACCACTGGGTATGACTCGCTGACAAAGACCTTTGAGAATAGTTTATACTTCTGTGTACTCCAGAGCTTTAAAGTGGGTACAGAACAGTTGAAGAATAACAAGTGACTCCCCCTGGCCTTTGAAGGAGAAGCAAAAACTGTCTCTTGGGCTTCTAAAATACTTTTGTAGAGCAAACTTGTTTCTTTTGGAATGGATCAGATTGTAGCAGGTGACAGATATTTTCACACAGCCCCTTACCCTGCAAAGTGACTTCACTCCATCTCCTCTTCATGTGACCCAGGCAGGTCTCTGAAGTAAACGTGCCATATTGTATGTATATGCCATGTTGTATTGGTATATTTTTCGGGAACAAGTATGAACATTTCCTGCAGAAAGTTATTTTATATAAGTAGAAGGATCATTCCCCAGTTCCTCCTCTTTCATCTCCATAGACGTCTGCCTCTGGGACATGGGGGTTTATCACAGTCTGAAGGGAGAAAATGTGGGACCCCCCCTGTGATTGGAGGCACTTCTCACTGCCTTTCTTGTTTTCTCCCTTAGGAAGATGTCATTAACACTCAGTGTGGCTACGATGCCAGGCAAAAACCAGTAAGTGGGGTTTTTAAGTGGGTTTCTTTTAATCATACCCGATTTTGTAAGGATCTAAGTAACTTTGGGGAAGCAGGTTGTAGCATTGAAGGTAAAGATTGAGCTAATTATCTGTGTTTTCATTCCTCTTGTCCTTTTCCAGGAGGTTGATCAGCAGATTGTTATCTACACTAAAGGTTGTGTCCCCCAGTTTGAGAAATGGCTGCAGGACAATCTTACTATAGTTGCCGGGATCTTCATCGGGATTGCGTTGTTGCAGGTAAAGCACACATTCCTCCTAAGAAGTTACAGAGGAAACGAGCAGAACCTTGAATTAGTGGTTTTCATTAAGAGCTACTTAGTGAGTTAATGGCTGAGGCTTCATTTGTGCTCAAGGATATTTATCAATAAAAGGGTTTATCCATAGAAGAATGTTTGTCCAATGGCACTCAACAGACATACACTTCGTCATATTGGGAGTGAACATAGGGTAGCCAACCCTCCAGGATTGTCCTGGAATCTGCAGGAATTAGATGAATTTTGAATTAAAGATTGTCATGTGATGAGACCTCCAGGAGCATGTCCAGTCAAAACTGGCAACCCTAGTGGAAACAAGGGCGGAGGGGGTGGAAAGTAGTTCAAAGACTGTAGGGTGGTCTTATTTTTTACCTTTCCGAGACAGGCTGCCAAAAGAATCATCTTTTAAATTGCTCATGGGAAGAAATTCTAGTAGAACCTCTGACTTCAGATTAAAGGCACACTGTTGATTTAGAATGTGGTCAGTTTCAGGCAAAAAACGAATTTAAGAGTTTTAGTTTTTACTCTTGCTCCTAAGCCCCCCTCTGCCAACTTACGTAATGTTTTTACAGTTGCATTTCGTGGGTTTTTTTCTCCTGTTGCTGTATCAAAGTCCCATGCCACCCAGGGAAAATGACTGTACACAAAGGACTGTCAAGTGCACCACGTAAATGAACTGTAATCTTTTTCCAGATATTCGGGATATGCTTAGCCCAGAACTTGGTTAGTGACATTGAGGCTGTCAGAGCCAGCTGGTAAAACTGCTGAAATAACCGCCACAAGACACTGGACAACTGAAAACCTCCAATCCCTCCAGTGTGTCACTCCGACACCAAGCTGTATGGACATGGGTGACAGGGAAGCCTTCTTTCCCAAGCAGGCTCAAGTATACGCTGCTGGTATTTGCAGTGAACCCTTGTTGGCTAAGGGGTGGGCTGTTTAAAATCTGCTGCTCACTGACAATTTTTTAAAAATCATCAGTTTGAAAGCTGTTGAGCCATGAATCTCTGCTGTATCCTTGATTCTGAATAATAGGTGGACTCTCTTTTTTAATTGGTATATGTCAATGGGACAGAGTTGCATTGTGGTTTGTGGATATGCTGTCTGTTCTCCATGTCACAAGCTCTTTGATAGCTGCCAAATGTTCCTGAGAATGTTTCTTTCTTCAGTACACTCTAGAGGAATCATCTTCATATTTTCCACGGTTAAACATAGCTGCAGGTCTTTCTGAAACTGATCTCATCAAACATTAAACAACTTTCCACTCATCAATTGTATATTTCAAGAAATTGTTTTAAAAACAAGGAAAAACTTTTATGCAAGCACTTCCAGACTTTCTGTCTGTAATAATTTGTGGTTGGAATCAGCAAGATCAAGGGGATAATTATTTAAATTTGCCAGCATCTTTCTCCAAGCAAGAATGGAACACTTAAGGTTTGGGGAACTCAGGTGTATAATGTTTAAAAGACAATGAAATATATGTTAATTAAAAAAAAAAGTAAAAAAAGTATCCAAATACCCTCACTATATCCATTGATTCTTTGGAGTTTGGCATAACCTGATGTATTTGGGCCTGTCACTAATATTAGTGCTTTGTTATAATTATACACAATTTCTTTTAAGATGTATCCTTGATCCATTCCTAGCTGAAGCTTAGATTGCCTTTTTCTTTTTAAAAATGTTTTTGCCTGCATGAGCTATGGAGTTAGAATCTGAGAGATTCTGATTCTAATTCCCTGCATATGTTTCAATAGGCTTGTAATCCAAATTCACATATTTATTGGTAGATGCACTTGTTTATGGGAACTTCCTATCCTCTTGTCTTGAAAGGGGGAAAGAACAACAGCTTTGCTATAGTAAATGCTTGCCTGAAGTCATCAGTTTTTCATTTGCTTGTCTGTGTGTGTTTCCCATCCTGCTTTTCTCTGTCTGAATACAACAAAACACTTTCTTGAGCCAATAGAATAAAATATTATTTTCAAGCAAGAAAAGTGTATTGGGACCAACAGAGACACGTTTGGTCCTTTGGAAAAGGACAAAGCAGTAGAATTTGGACTACAGCACCAGTACTGGGAGGCAAGATAAGTCAAAACTCCATCTAGGTGTATGTGATGAGCTTTTATTTCATGTGATCAGGCACCCAACAATAATTAGGGTAGTTAGTGCAGTTCATATACTTTTAGCTTGCCTGATGGCCCTGCTTAATGTCTGTGGGCCCAATCCTGCAGGGGCTAACTGCCTTCTGCTCTTGCTTCCTTCAAGAAGTTGTTGAAGGTGCTTAGTATCCATCAGGAGGTGTTTTATCACCATTCAGGACTGGCCTCAAGTGTCCCCTAAGGTGAATAAGATAAGAGAAGAAATAGTAAACACGTTTTCTTTCAAATCAGTATATTAATCTCACTTCTGAGAGATACAGCGTATGAGTGTATAAACAATCTCACACGCTTTCTTTCTGTGCTCTGGTTCTGTTTCTGGTTGTGTGGAGACAACCTGTGTTTCTAACCCCAAAGGCTGGCAAGACACACCAATATTCAGTGGCTTGGAAGAGCTGACCAGTGCAGTGGCACTCTTTTATTTGGTGTTTCCTCAGCCTCCAGTGAGCTCCGCCTGACCTGTAGCAGGCAACACCCACGCCTTTGGCGTGTGCTGTTAAAGATCAACAGCAACTTCACAGGATTTTTTTAAACACTGAAAGCGTTTAAAATGCACTATCCCTAATAAAGGTGATTCACTTTCATCACAGTGTTATGTTTTTCTTAGCCACTGTTCTAGGGGAGTTATTGTTCATTTCTCTTCAACGGGACATGGTAAGTTCATTGGAGCTAAAGATGCTACTGTTCTGTGTTGTGTAGAATGGTGTGGAGTGGGGAGAACAGGAATGCAGCATTCAGGAAATACCCTGCTCCCCTTGCCCCTAGCATTGGTTGTGAACCAGGGCTACTCATCCCTGCTTGCCGTGATCTTTAATGCTTCTGCCGCTAGCCTTCTGAAGACAGCTTCCATTCCTCTACTTGAATTTCTACAATAGTACTGTAATTTTTGTTTTCTCATGCCTATTCTCTTAGGGTATGTCTACACTACCCCCCCTAGTTCGAACTAGGGGGGGTAATGTAGTCATACGGAGTTGCAAATGAAGCCCGGGATTTGAATTTCCCGGGCTTCATTTGCATAAAGCCGGCCGGCGCCATTTTTAAATGCCGGCTAGTTCGGACTGCGTGCCGCTCGGATGAGGAACAAGGCGTACAGCTAGTTCGGATAGGAAGCCTATTCCGAACTAGCTAGTTCGTGCCGCGTGTAGCCGCGCGGCACACAGTCCGAACTAGCCGGCATTTAAAAATGGCGCCGGCCGGCTTTATGCAAATGAAGCCCGGGAAATTCAAATCCCGGGCTTCATTTGCAACTCCGTATGACTACATTACCCCCCCTAGTTCGAACTAGGGGGGTAGTGTAGACATACCCTTAGTTTCCTTCTCCTATTGCTAAGTCACAATTCTGGGAAATGCCAGTGGCAGAGAATTGTGTTGATAGGAAAGGAATTGCTCTTCAATATGGGGAATCTTTGTTCTCGTTACTTCCAGGTGCATATGCAGAAAATGTACAGAGTGACTGCTGTCTTAAAAAACACTAAAGAATAACCTTTATTTTTTGTACAACCCCTCATTTTTGCAAATATGAATTTTGCTGTTCAAGATGATTTTTGTTTTTCCTTTGTTTTTTTTGCAATTTACTTTTCCTTTCCCATTTTTGAAGTCATTTGTGGAGAAACCACATTGGATGTTCAAAATTAGCTGCCTCTGTTGCAATTTAAAACACACATTTGTATGCATAGAATAGATAAAAGTGGCTGCTTCTACCCTGCAAGCTTGAGGTGTGATTTGCCTGCTTGTGTACACAAACTTGTGCTAGCAAACATCCAGTTAGCACAACTATAAGTAGCAGCGTAACTGTGGTAGTACAGGTAATGGCTACCGCCACTACACTGGTATTTATATTTAGGCTAGCTGGATGATAGCTAGTGCACACATGTGTAGGTGATCATGGAATCTCTTCCTCTCCCGCCTCCCCTGTCCTTTCCAGCTTGATATGGAGACATAGCCTGAGAGTCCACTTCCACTTGCTGTTTAGGAGAGCAGTTTGGAAGATCATGCGAGGCTTTGGCACTTGATCTGTTTTACACAGAACCGACCAAATTCAAACAATATTTCTGCTTGAAAGTGCCATTAAAACTTCATATGAGCCACAAACAACCCATGAATGCTGGCCAAACAAGTTACTTCCAGCAGGGTCTGGGTAAAGCAATAAGATACAGTAGGTATTCTATTTCTGGGCAATTTCTAGCATGCCTCAGGTATGTGCAAGTCCGAAGGCCATTTTTAAGCAGCCACAAAGTGCAGTAGCTGCTCCAGAATACATTGCCGGACAGCATTCAGACAGCCTCTTAGGGTGTGAACTGTTTGCATTTGCTAGGCAATGTGTGTATGGCTATGGCATTAGCTGACAACTGGTGTGAAACTTCAGCTGTGTCCAGAGTTCTAAAGCCATTTCAGAGTTCCCCACGAGAATGCTCAGAGGTCCTACTCAGATGCACACCCTCGCTCTCCTGTTGGTTTGAGACCCATAATATTGACTGTTGCTTATTGGAGTTTGAAGGGGTGGAGACTGTTGCTTACTTGTTCTTTGTCGTCTAAGCTGCCTCCTTCTCCTCTTCCTCCTTTCTTTTCAGAGAGATGCTAATTGTAATGAATCAGGAGACCAAACCTGGTTTGGTAGGTTCTGATGTGTAAATACTATTTGAAATGTAAATAGTAGCATGCAAATGAAATGATTCTTGCACATGACTGCTATTCGTCATAAATACGTATTTATACTCACGAAAGATATACTATGTGAGAGTTTGCTGATCAAAATTCAGCAGGCTGGTCACTTAAGAGCTTTACATATCCATTGGCTTGAGTCAGGAATGCTTTAATTGCCTGCCATCTAGCGTCTGCCATGTAGAACCACAGCTGACCTATGTTACATGAAGGTGGACCAGCTTCTCAGTTTTGCTTTGGTTCGTTCTGGAACCTTTTCCCTGTGCTGCCTACTTAGGATCGGAAAAGGAATCGACTGTAAAATCTAGGCCTTGGCTGAACTCACACCTCTTATGCCTGGACTAAATTTGATGCTAGGTCTTGACTTGATGTGGTCCTGAAAATGAATCTCCATCTTCGCTTCTTCAGGAATGTCCTGGATAGAATTGGTTCCAGTTACCAGAGAAAATAAGAGAACCTCTGAATGCAAACATTGGGATCCATTCTCCCTCCTTGCTGTGCTTATACTTTTCAGATTAATACTAATGACACAATTTACATTGCACTGAAAGGAGAACTGATCCTAGTGTGTAAAGCACAGTGCAGGTTCCCAATCCTAATGCCCTCCTTTTTGTCCACTAAAGTTATTGCATTTGTTAATTTGAGTCTCATTAACCCAGTATGCTGAAGTAAGCTAACCAGACCACCACTGTTGGTTAGTTTTATTTCCTCTGTAAGATCCATTAGCTGCCAACCTTCAATATTTAGAAAGAAAACATTTCAAATCTCTAATGATATGCAGTATAAAAATAGCCATTGTGACTTGTAATATATACACCAATCCCGGTGAGCAACAAGAAAGCATTATTCATTTTTTGGTTTTGCTGTATGTCAGCAACAAACTCCATCTGTGCGTATCCATACACTTTCCATATGTATGTACAGCAGAGGCAGACCACGATTTGATTATCCCAAGCTTTGGGGAGACTGGGATCTGGCCCCAAACTGTGTGACTCAGTCCTGTCTCTGGTATGTAACACCAATCCAGTTGAAGGAGAACCTCTCTCCTCAAATCATCATCGAATACAATGAAGGTTATTCATTGTATTTACCTTTGTGTAATATTTCTTTTTATCTGAATGTACTCGTTGTGTTACTTTTTTTAAAAAACCTGTGAGTCGCAAAATTGATTGTAAAAGCCAATTACACTTACTGACTGAAAGTATTGCTATAACAGAACTGCATGCTGGTAGAGTTTGACTTGAGCTTTAGTTGTCTGTTTTCCAATTGGTCATCCATTAGTCTGGAAGAAATGCATAGTTCCGGTGCATATGTATTGCTTATATTTGTCATCTTTAGCATTAGAATGTGGTGAATTCAAAGGATGTAACTGGACTATATTTTGGAAGTTAACACAACTTCTTAGTAATTCCTTTTAAGCTATTGAAAGTGGTCTTGATCATGCTATTTGTGTTTTTTAATAGGTGCATTTTTAGCAATGTTTTAATACATTTATGATGGACAATAGTTTTAATAGTTGTGCAGTATTCTGTATTTACTTGAAGTAAATCATTTTATATGCAATTTGTTAGATAATTACAATTTTATAAATAAAATTGTGTGAAGTATTACCTAGTGAATGTTGTCTTTTCTTTCAGTGCTTCAGTCTAGAGGTAGCCTCTGAAACCTGTTTGTGATGACTTGGACTTTTCATCGCAAAATGTACATTTACAATTACATTTTCATTTTACCAGTAGATGGTATTAAACAAAAGAATGGTTGGTGTAAGTAAAATCCTGATTAATCGGTTTAACATTTAACCAGTTAACTGACTAAGTGGGATGCTGGACAGGGGACTGCTTCAGCCCAGCTGAAGTGGCCTTCAGCCCCCAGAGTGTCCTCTCCCAGCCCTGCATGGGGCTGGTCACTGGCTCCTGGACTCCACATTGGGGCTGCCGCCAGCTCCTGGCCCCCATGCTGGGAGTGGGGCTGGCTGCCCGGGCTGGAGCAGCCCTCTGCCCGTGGCAGACTGCTCCTGGGTAACTGGTTAACCAGTTACCCGTTCATATCGCAAATTCAAACTCCAGGTATTCCCACATATACTTCGATACAAATTGTGGGAGAAATGGATAGTTAAATTATTTAGCTGTATTGAGGACATTAGACTGTTCGTTTTACCAGTTTTCAAACTATAAGTTCTGTTACTCTTGAAATAGCAATTTAGCACAGCTGTTGGAACTTTAGTCTGATTATTTCAATGACTTTTTAGTTTTCAAAAGTCACTTAGCTGATTGTGCAGAATGAGAAGAACCTGGTGGAAACTTAATGATTCACCATAACAATGGTGATAGAGGGCAGTTGGATACCCTGGTTCTGAAGAGAGCAATGCTTCACAGACAGCCACAGAGAACAGCAAGTTTTAGCACTAAAATGGAAATGAGTGAAGTTCACAGCTGTGCTAAATTCTTGATGGTTTTTATTGTTGTTCTTGTGACAATTTCCATATCAATTTTACTGTAAAAATTATGTACGGATTTGTTTAATACAGCCCAATGCAAAATCCCTTAAAATTTATGATCTAATAAAAAAAACTCTGCATTAATTTCAGAACTGATCCTTAGTGTAAATAATCCCAGTAATTTTGAAGCATGTTATTAAAACATATAGGAGAGAAGAATTTCAAAAGTGCCTGCTGTTGTTAAGTGTCCTCCTCCCATTTTTGCCCTGGCCATTATTACTTCCAGATAAATGGAACTGCTTTCCATTAGAGTGGAAAAAGTGCTTCTGTCCATCTTGGCAGCACTGGTATCTGGCTTTGTCAGTAGTGCATACACCAGTGATTCCCAAACTGGATTGTGATCCCAAATGGGTTTGGGATCACAATCCAGCGGATGGTGTCATGGTGATCTCTGGTGCGTGGAGGATTCCATTTTGCTCTGCATAG